TTTTTTTTTTTTTCTTTTGGCTTGTTTTTAGAGAAAACCAGATGTGTTTCCATTAAGAACATGCCCTCCTTTTGTTGTCATTTGTGTAATTCTTAAAATTAAGCAAAAGTATTAAGGAATAATTGTTTCTGCTCACATTAACAGCACACAGCTTCTCCAGATGTGGCATTTGACAGCCCAACAGCTGCTGGCTATTAAATGTGCCTTAAAAGGCCCATTCCTTTGTCATAAAGGGAACAGAAGTGTAGGGACGTTTATGGGGTGAGAGGCAGATGTTTTGGCTACATCAGATTTGAGGGAAAGTTTTAAGTGTTTCTCTGCTATGGTCACAGTGCATGTTTTAACCCCTATCATACACCTTATGGAGCTCTCTTCTTGGCACTGGGGTGAGATTATTCCTAATCCCACACTGACCTGTGGGACATCTCACTCTGAAGACAGAGCAGTTCTGCCAGGCAAATCTCAGCTGATGCTTGGTTGGCTTTCCAGCTCTGCTCTCAAAATACTGGATAAATTTTTGGGGTTGAAACTCAGCTTAAAATATTCAGCTAAAAACAATTTGAAATAATGTGTTGCCTTTTTTTTCCCCCTCTAAACTCTCTTTTTAAGTCTCTACTCATAATAATCAAAGGCAGGTGTTCTTTTTGTGTTTGTCCCAGCACAGTATGCTTTATGCCCAATAAACTATTTTTTATGGTGGTACATGTGAGGTGGAACATGGAACGAGTGGAGCTCAATTTCAAAAGTTCTGGTTCAAATTCCCAAGCCTAAACTTTGAGTGGAGTGTTGAGTACTGGAATAGCACCACGGGTCCTTAGGGAGCTGCACCGCTTTTAAACTATTCTCTATCAGCTTAGAGTCTGCTAAACCTCTAAGAGCTTATGGGGCTGCACAATTTTCTTTCAGTAACAAAAGTCTTTCTGTCTTCTTGGCAAAATTTTCTTTTTCCTATTGCTTATTGGACTGGAAATTTTTTGCTGTTTTTTAGTCTTAACTGGAGAAGATTTCAATATAAAAATCCCAATGTATTTGCATGAAAAAAACCCCAAGACTTCTACAAAACTGAATTAAAAGAGAGCAAATGTTCTGCAAAATTACATGGAATGTAAGAGAATAGGCTTGTTCTACAGATAAACTGTCATTTTTAAGAATTATATCCCTATTTTTATTCCTATTTTAAGTCTATTTCTAGAGCAAGTTAGATTAAATATTCCATAATTCAGTCTGATTCTTCCTTTCTCCCTCTTATTCTACATGCCTTTTTAGGACATGAAGTCTATTATCATAAATAAGGGAAATACTAGCTGAAGCAATTAGTCTTGAAATTTGGCACATTTTAAATTTATCTGACTAGTTCTTTCTCCATAATTCAAATGCAGAAATTTCTTTTTTTCCATTAATTTATTTCCTAGGCTTAGCAAGCAAGAATCCTATATCCCAAATGCCCACCCAAGGGGATGAAGCACATGTTTTACCATTAAGCTCTGGAATTCATTTCCCATCAAAATATGACTCCATGGTGTTGGTGTCTGGCTGTAAATCCTGGCTTAAAGCCTTTTTTTCACAATTGTTTATGGTGTGTATTTGTGCTTTCACCACCACAAGAGAATGACCCCAGCACACCAGCCTTGAAATTAATATTTAAAATAGAATTATATGGCTTTGGTATTAGTATTGTGCAATAAATGCCTTGGGACGTCTTGCAGGTATGTCCATTGTTGCCATGTAACTGCTGTGAGTAAGGAATAATGCCAGTTTCCAGTCAAAAATGGGGAAAGCCAAGAGATGCAAAACTGGGACTCTTATGGAACTTTTGCCTTCTTACTTGAGGAAATTCTAGTTTTCAGCCTTCAATCTATGCTGCTCAAACCCAAAGAATGGAGCTGATCATGTTTTGGCTCTCCCCTTAAAGATGGAGTTGCTGTAAAAAGTATGTAACCATTTATAAACAAACAATCATTATTACTTAGAGCATGATACTATTACAAATAATATCAAAAAATAAAAATAGGCCAGTGGAGCTTAAAAACTGAAGTGGTGCAAAGGTGCTATATGTAGATTTTATATCTTTGTATACTTTAAAAAGTATACTTTAGAAAGTTTTAGCACGTAGAAGACATATATTTCATCTTGTATGAACACAGAAAAATGCTTTTAATGTTTTCTGAAAAATTTTAATGGTGCAGAGGTGTACCTGTGAACTCCAGGAAACCAAAAGCAATTTTGAAAACTGTTCTGTGCCGAATCTGAATGTTGTGTGCCCTCTAGAGCTCTCTTGGGGGAAGCTCTGGTAGTCAGATTCTCTTGGTCTGGGGTAGCTCCTCATCACAAGTCCCTTGATGTATTCAGGCACTCAGAGCATCTGTGTGCTCTCAAAGTCCAGATTCTAAATCAGACTTACACAGCAGATATGATTAATATTTTAGCCACCGTAAATGTGTCTTTCTGATTATCAAAGTGGCTGATAATAAAATGCTGATAAATGCACTAATAGTTTCTCAGTCTAAAACTGAAGTAACTTTTTGACTTTCATGATAGATTTCAGACACAGAGCAGGAATTGGTTTGTGGAGGTCTGAGCCATTTGTAGTTCTCTTTCTTTTACCCAGGCACAGCTGGGTCCTGCTCTTGCCCAGGTAAATCCGGAAAGAAGAATGTAGGGAGAGACAAAGGTAGGAGCAGCCAGAGGTGAATATCATTTACAGCTACATCAAACTGTGATTAGCAGAGTAGAGGAATGAACACTTCCTGGCTGAAAAAATATATTAAAAGCCAACCCCCCACGTTTTTGGGGTATTTCTCAGCTTGGTTCATGCTCTGACCTCAGGAGGTTGTGGTCACACATCTCTACTTGCAGTGGCTAAACCAGCAGCAGAGCTGAGTTCAGCCTGCCTAAGCATTTGCTGCTGCATTCCTGCCAGATTGCTGCTCATCTTTTACAGTCCCCAGGGCTGCACCGGGGCATTATTACTTTATTCTGAGTATTTTTTCCTTAGGCTTTGCTGTTTCATTTGGCTTAAAAGAGTTTAAAAGCACTGGCTACTCTGCCCAAGCTGCGGAGTAGATTGTGCTGGCAGCTGGGAGTGGTAAATTGCAGCAGCGAGTGGCTGCTTCCGTGCTGTGGCTTTTCAGTTCTTCTGAGCAGCCTCAGAAACTGCGAGGGCTCTGCCCAGGGCATGTGCACCTCTGCTGCACAAAGCTGTCTCAGACAGCTCAGGCATCAGGAACTGGAGTCCAAATGGGCTGAAAGCGTTGTTTTCTAGGGAGGTGCACTTGAGGGTGCAGAGTGCTTGCTCTGGCTGCTACCTGAGGTGCTGGAACCTCAGCACAGAATTGCTTAGAAAAAGTGCTCCTTGCCCTGGCTTCCCCAGGATTTTGCAACTTTTAGCCAGACAGAGAAGGGCTGGATTTCTTTCGCAAGGTTTGTTGCTTTCCTCCTGCAGTTTTCTCCTTGAGCTGCCACGTGGCGCCCATGTTGCTGCTGGGGCTCACCTGCCACCCACACACAGCTGAGCCTTTGGAACCTGCCACCAGCCCTCGGAGCAGCTGCAGCCCCCTGCACCACTGTAGAGTTCATAAAAATGTGCCTTGGGAAGGTCTTGCTTTTAATCCTCAGGGCCATGAAAGTACAGTTTATCTACCTACCAGCAGCCAGTCAAAAAAAACCAAAAAACTCTAGAATTTTACCACCCCTTATTTGCTACTTTTGGTATTTTATTTCCTCTTGGAAATGATTTTGTATCCATGCTTAGTGAAAATACATTTCTGCTACAGTCCCTGTGTTTTAAATATGGAGCATTAAATGAGTCATTCTATGCTATCAGCATGAAATTCACCACGCTTATTTACTTTTACAATTAAGAGAGATGGGTTTGTGTATCAGGTAATTTTATCACTTTCACTTCAAGAGTTTCCTCAGAACCTGCGGTTCAATCCCTGAGGATTGCTGTCTAAACTTCAGGAAGTATAATTGGTAAACTCCTACAGCTTTCGGTTTTTCTGGTGGTTCAAATAAAGAATTATGTATTTTCTGTTGAAATCAAGAAGTAATCTTGCTGTAACAGGATGGTGATTTTTTTAAGCCTCGCAGTTTGCTTTCTGGTCATGCATTAATTATATTTAGAATTGGTTTAAGTTGATTAGGCAATGAAGTCTAAGCTTGCAAAAGAGATAAATCTTTCTTGATAACTTGGGTTCATCTAGGAGATTTAGGGGCTCATGTTAATTATTTCAGTTAGTTATCTAGAAGTCACATTCCACCATTACAGTGTATCAATTGAATCAGCCCTAGTTGCAAGTTTGTTCTATGAATTTAGAACAAGCCCTTATGTGCACCCAAGTCCTGTATATCCTTAGGGGAGAGACTGAAAGAAAATAATTTTCCCACCAAAAAATAGAATTTTAAGTGTTCTCAACACACCAGTTTTTTTACAAGGTACAAATGTTTTTTAAAAGGAACCTTTAAAGGAAAAAAAAATTGAAAATGCATGTCAGGTGTCTGCTACAAAGTGTTAGAGAAAA